GTTGCTGTCAGGTGAGAGAGACTGTCATTTCCAACTTTCTAATCTGCATTCTTTTAAAAGTTAAAATTTTGGAATCCTTTTCTGCTTCCTCTTGAGACACCTACGGTCTGTTGGGCGTTTGTATGCATTTGTTTTAAAGCTAAGGCCTATCTGTTAAGAAGGCTTATAGGATCCTTAGCTAAATGTTCTTGAAGGTGTCTTATGATGGTTCTGTCAGAAATTCTTAATGGAGAGAGACCGTTGGGGCAGTTTGGGTGATATTGCAGAAGAATACTGCTCCTCCACTTGGCATTGCTACTGTTGCAGAAGCTGCATTGGTGGGGAACTAGATTTGTCTCTGTGTGAGTGTTGCCTGACTTACTGTGGAGAGGGAACATTATTATTATGGCAACTTCCACTTGGTGTTTGTTGAGGTGGGTGAGAAAGTCAGTGCATGAGTACCTCCCCCTGGATGTCTCCTTTCCCATCTGCTAGTCCCAATGCAATTCTAGTCCCATATATATGCAAATTCAGGGCTCTTTTTGTATCAGGAACTCCTTTGCATATTAGGCGACACACTCGTAATGTAGCCAGTCCTCCAAGAGCTTACAGAGCCAGTTTGGTGTAGTGGTTAAGTGCACGGACTCTAATCTGGGAGAACCAGGTTTGATTGCCCCCTCCTCCACTTGCACCTGCTGGATGACCTTCGGCAAGCCATAGTTCTGATAAGAGCTGTCCTTGAAAAAGAGCAGTTTGTGTCAGAGCTCTCTCAGCCCCACCTACCTCACAGGGTGTCTGTTGTGGAGAGGGGAAGGGAAAGGAGTTTGTAAGCTGCTCTGAGACTCCTTTGGGTAGTGAAGGGCGGGGTATAAATCCAACCTCTTCTCTTCTTACAGGGGCTATTGTCAGCTCCTGGAGGATTGGCTACATTAGGGGTGTGTCACCTAATATGCAAAGGAGTTCCTGCTGCAAAAAGAGTCCTGTATGCAATAATTACCTCCCCTACTGCATGATGGGCACTTACAGAGCAATCCTAAGGACACTTTCCTGGGAGTAAGTCCTATTGAATAGACCATAGTAGAATTCAGAGTAGACCTGCTTAGGATTGATCTTTTAATTAGTTTGGACAGTGTGTAGGGTTGCCAGCTCTGGTTTGGGAAATACCTTGAGATGTTGGGGGCAGAGCCCAGGGAGAGTGGGGTTGGGGAGGGGAGAGATTTCAGTGGGGTATAATGCCATAGAGCCCATCTTCCAAAGCAGCCATTTTCTCCATTTGAACTGATCTTTGTCACCTGAAAGTACTTGTAATCCCAGATCTTCAGCCACCACCTAGTGACTGGCAACCCTTGCATTGTGTGCCCATGTGATTGCTCCGTACACACCTACCAGGGTTTTCCAGTCATTCTTGCTCTTGTATTACAGTTATGAAATAATGCCACAATATTCTGAATACATAAGGTGTTGACCTCTTACTTTGCTTTCACAAAATGTCTTCTGGTACTTTTGTAACTGAAGTTTCCACTGTTTAGGTTTATGTAAATATTGAATAGTCGGGGAATTTCAGATTACCCTTTTTAAGCCGTTATTGTACCGTCTTGGAGTAAACCGTTACAGGGGCGGCCAATTTCACACAGCCTTTCCTCTACCATTTCTTAAGCGGTTTGGCATTTCAGACTGCACCGCATTGTTTTCCCGCCCTTTTTCGCCCACGCGGGCGATCTTCGTCTTTTTAAAAATGTTCTTTTACGAGCGCTATAGCGCTATAACACAACACCAAAACAGCATGATAGCGACCCCATTGGAATTCCTGGACTCCATTGAGACACATGAGATTGGGGGATTTAAAAATAGGAAGTGGAGGCTCAGGAATGTACAGTTTGAGAGCATTTTTTTTTAACACTAGCTCCTTCCCGGCTTGCAAACAGCATCCTTCTTTTGATGGCCAGCATTTCGGGATGCCAGGCCTCCAGGGGGGACCTGGGGATCCCCTGTACTACTCTAAGCTGAGTTAGTGTGAGCTGGTTCAGTTTTTTAGCCTCCGGCTCACACGTTCTTGTCTTAGCTCAGGAAGAATGGCTCCAGAGCAAACTAATTTATGCAGTAGCCAAATAACTTGCTCACAATTCTAATGCCAGTAGCTTACAAAGTGGAATTTTTGCTCACAGGACTCCACAGCTTAGAGGGAGCATTGCAGAGTTACAGCTTATCTCCTGCCTACAGATATAAGTTCCCAGTCATATAGCAAATGCTGTGGAAGGAGGACTCCATGACATTGTACTCCATTGAAATGCCTGTTCTCCCCAGATGTAGTGATCTTATGTATCTCAGTGGTCTGGGCATTCCAATGGGGTCACTATTGTGCTGTTTTGGTGTTGTGTTATAGCGCTATAGTGCTCTTAAAAGAACAAAAAAAAAGACGGAGATCGCCCGTGTGGGTGAAAAAGGCCAGGAAAACCTCATCATCGGAGGAAGCACTACGGGGGCATTTTACACAACACCCCATAGCTCTTCAGGAATGGTATAGAAAATTGAAGACCTCTTGGAAGCAGTTTGCAGGTACAACGGCTCAGGAACACTTCCCTAACGGGACAGGAGCGTTTGTGTCTGAAAGGGTCAATATATTCTGTTAGGGAACAGTTACTAAAGCGGTTCTGTCTGAAATGTCAGTACAGAAATCATTAGTGAACAGTTCCTGAAATGGAACATATCGGCTGTCTGAAATTCCCCTTTATATTCTGCTTTTTGAGAAAATGCAGTTTGAAATGGTTCACGTAATTCAAAAGCAGCCAAATTATACAATTAAAAATCAAATCAAATATAAGCAGAGACTAACAGTCAAAGCAAACCAAAAATGAGCAGCATTTTAAAGGATTTTTAAAAAGGCAGTGAAGGCAACAGGTGGGAGTGACTGACACAGTGAGTTTTTTTAGATGCAATGCCACTGCTGAAGAGGTTCTGTCCCTAGTCTCCTAAGAGCAATCCTCTTTCAATAATGTGGAATGATTGGAGTATAGGCATATGCTATTAGTTATACAGATGTCTGGTCATAAATCTAAAGGCTTGTTGTATCATTTTATATGCCTGTAGATGAGCAACATCTCCTAGGGCTCATTGTCTGACATTGGGGCAAGCTGCATAGTTATGTGTTCAGAATTTTTAAGGCCGTGTTCATTATGTTTCCTTGTCTGGTGATGATCATCAAACCATCATTTCAAGGTCTGGAACCATTCAGAATTGGACCATATACCAACTTTGTTAATATTGGTGAACGCTGCAATGTTGCAGGATCAAGAAGGTTTGCCAAACTCATCATGGCAGGCAATTATGAAGTAAGCCTTCAACTTATAAAAGCTTCTAGCTGGGCTTTAAGTTGCTATATTCTACATTTCATAATCCTTCTATTTAAAAATCGTGATGTTTGCATGTGCCATTCCTAGGAAACAAGTTGCAAACAGGAAGCTTTGCCTGTGGTCTTCCAGAGTTTTAAATCTAGCTTTTTGGTACAGCAGATGAAACAAGATGTTGAATACACTTCTTCTCTTGCAGAGATGATAGCTGTGGTATATAAACAGCTTTGCATATTTTATTGGTACCAGACTTAAAAGTAGTCATGGTTCAGAGTTTTCCTTAGTGAGGGGTTCAGTATGCCAACATCGCTAGAAGAGAGGAATGGAGTCACACATGGGTTTAGCTGCCTTGGTCTTGAGATGATGTAAGAGAAACATGTGGAAGTCGAGGGGAATGTGTGACATGAATTATCTACCACAGAGATAAAGGAGCTGTGCTGTGAGGGCAATGTTATCCTTTCTACACAAATTACATCCAGTCTGTGGGGGGTGGAGTGGGAAGAGGGCATTGTTGGTGTAGGAAAGATGTATACCATTGCTTTCACCTATATGGTTCCTGCATGTATGTTTCACTGGGCCAGCATAGGACAAGGTGAGAAGAGTCGCTTAGATACTGCTGAGGTAATGCATGAGTAGGACCCCAGAGGAGGAAAAGGAAGTCGCTTGCTGCTTGGGGAGAAAGGGACTATTTCATGATAGCACATTCTACAGACAAATAAGCCACTTCTGATGTGTATAAATCCTAACATCAGAAAAGAAGAGGGATGTGTGCCCTAAGTTTAGGTAACAGGATGAACTTAAATGCTTGGCATTTCCCTTGCCTTGCCGGAAAGCGAAAATAATGCTGGGTGTCTCTGATATTCTGGGTTACATTAAGATAGATAATAGTATAGAGGAGTAACAGTATCAGTAAATAACAGTATCCATAAAGGCATCTCAACAAGCTCACTCTTTAAACATTATTTGTTTTTTTGTTTTTTAGGAAGCTCTGAGTGTTGCTAAGGCCCAGGTTGAGATGGGGGCTCAAATTCTGGATATAAATGTGGATGATGGAATGCTGGATGGACCAAGTGCTATGAGTAGATTCTTCAACTTCATTGCTTCAGAGCCTGACATTGCCAAGGTTGTACGCACACCTGTTAAGGTTGCAACAAAATGGATTTTCTTGCTGTTATAGCCTGGAGAATAGTTTTTATAGTTTGCGTTTACATAACATTTAGAAGAATATTTTAAATCTGCACATGATATTCAGGGCACACATTTCCACAGATTTCAGTAACATGGAAAAAAGTGCCTTTTTACATCATAAGCCTTTTGGAGAATGAAAAATTAGACGTAGTTTGTTCATATTTCAAAGCAGAGCAAAGTGTAGGTCTTAACAGAAACCAAATTACCTCTAAATAGCCCTTTTTCAGCTTTACATCAATGCAAGAATGTGAGGGGTTTCAACTTTCCTTTGTGCGACAGCTACAGTATGGGAGTAACTTTTCTGTGGGTTCATTCCACAGCACAAAAGTGTGTGCGTGCGTTCGTGCGAGGCTACTTATGTGGACCATTAATACTCTGTTGCCCTCAGTCCTAGAAATGTGACTGTTGCACGGTGGGGTCTTGTTCAAAAAGACACTCTAGTGTTGTCAGATTTTGCGCCACTGAAGATTCATTCCTTATTTGTTTAGCCATATTTAGGCACAGATCTGAAAACATGGTCTGTCCAAGGTTTCACTTTTACTTTAACATCTCCCTATTTCAAAGGATCATGGGATGAGTTAGGGATCTAAAGATTGAATTTCCAACAATAAGGGAAGATGATCACCCCCCCATAAGATCACCCACAGAGAAGGCTGACAGTAGTTGTAATGCATTACTGTTAGTTAATATACAATCAATAATGCTTCCCCCCTTGGATTAATACATGTAAATTCTCGAAAATTATTAATGCCAGTCTCGCCATTTATGATCATGAATCTATTTCTCGTTCCATTTCATTGTATCTGAGGAAGTGTGCCTTGCACACAAAAGCTCATACCTTGACTAAAACTTTGTTGCCTTAAAGGTGCCGCCGGACTCAAACTCTGTTCTGTCTCTCGACCCTGATTTTAGCAACTTCTTCCCTGCCGAATTTGTTTTCTTATCTTTTGTAAATCTTTCCAAAAACCATATTGTTTATCTGATTAATTCCATTTCCCCCTTCTACCAACTGTTAGTTAATATACAATCAATAATGCTGCCCCCCTTGGATTAATACATGTAAAGTCTTGAAAATTATTAATGCCAGTCTGGCCATTTATGATCATGAATCTATTTCTCATTCCATTTCACTGTATCTGAGGAAGTGTGCCTTGCACACGAAAGCTCATACCTTGACTAAAACTTTGTTGTCTTAAAGGTGCCGCCGGACTCAAACTCTGTTCTGTCTCTCGACCCTGATTTTAGCAACTTCTTCCCTGCCGAATTTGTTTTCTTATCTTTTGTAAATCTTTCCAAAAACCATATTGTTTATCTGATTAATTCCATTTCCCCCTTCTACCACTATCAGATCTGCTTGAGTAATATTACCCAATCTTGCATTAAAGTCACCAACGATAATTAAATTGGTGTTAGGGAATTCATTGCATATATTTTCAATATAGTTTTCTGCTGCCATCCAATTTTGATTTAGTTGCATTACACTTAGGGATGGGAAAACATTCCGGATTTTCACTGCCATAGCCAAAGCTGAACAGGGTTTCAACTCTGACACATAACCTCAAAGGAACTGTGCTTATTAGCCCATCCTGCAATATACCATGACCTCATCTTTAGTATGAATTTGGGTTAATTTTTGAGCCATACATTATTACTAGCCACCGAGGAGACAATATCATGATCAAGGGGAATCGCTGACATTTGAGACCATTCTGGGTTTTCCCTGCAGGTTTCCCTGCAGGTTTGGATCACCAGCCTTCTCAATACCAGAGCTGTTATTTTCCTTTCATCTAATTACTTGGGCTGTAAACAAATTGTTGTAGTTTTTAGAATTTTCGTTACCTTGCTGAATCCCTGCAATTTTCCTAGTTTTTGTTCGATATGTTGCTGCTCCTCTGCCAGAAGATGGCTGAAGGTAGTTAGCAGGCTTTGTTCCTGAACTGTTTTCCCCACTGCCTTCCATATATCTATCTCAATGTCTCTTGAAGGGGTTATTTTATTAATCTGCTGTAGGAGAGAATGGTTTGAATTTTAATTATAATCTGTTTTCTGGACTAAAGGGATTTTTAGCTCAATTGGGGGGGGGCTCTACCACCTTTTCTGCCTTCTTTTGTAAGGGTGGTTGTTCTAGCTTTGATTTAATGAAGAGCTTTCTTATTAGATTGTTAAAAGCTCTTGTCAAGTGAATTCCAAAATTCCTAAAACGCCCTATATTGGAAAACATCATAAGAGGGGATTTTAGGTGAAAAAAAGGTCAGTATGGCTGCGGTCACACGCAACATTAGCCACGCAAGAGATACGGAAGACAAGCGGAGTTTCCGGTCGCGATCTCACCAGCACATCTGGGAAGCGTAGCGCTTCCGTGGCACAACTGAGGCTTCCTGCCGAAAAAGCGCAGCAAAAAACTAGTACCTTGGAGGTACTAGTTTCCAGAAACTGCGGGGCAAGGGCGGGCGTCTGATCGCGTTTCCGGTGGCATCCGGCGCCCGCCCATGTCCCCTTGCGGAAAAGGTTTTTTTTCCCCCCAAGTCTCCGTGGATGCGCACACGCACCCATCGGAGCATGCGCATTCGTAGGGGCCTTGGCGGGGCTTCCTCGCACTCCCGCTGGCCTTGCAGGTCCACCGCCGGGCCCCTGATGTCAGGGTGTGTGGCATATGCTAATGAGTTATGCTAATGAGTTCCCCTAGCTCTTTTTCTACGGAATAACCCCTGAAAACGCCCTATATTGGAAAACATCATAAGAGGGGATTTTAGGTGAAAAAAAGGTCAGAATATACAGTTTTCCATAAATATGGCCCTGAATTTTTTCTATGTATTTTAAATCTATGTAGGGGACAGACATGCCCAACAAATAAAAGAAATGACACAAACTGTTTCTTCTCCCCCACCAGCAATTTATCCATCCGCCCTGATAGGAAAATATTGTGATCACCACCTGAAATCTATTTAATTGTAGTCTATCCTTTCCTTTGGGGGCCAGCATAGAGAGGATGTTACCCAACAAGGGCTTTCTCTTTGCAGGGGCACTTCCCCAAATTTTGAGCTGGATCTTCTCGCTTGGAAGAATTCAATAAATAATCAGTAATAAACTCCAATTTTTCATATATTAGTGTCAGCTCTGCAGCTGCCATGGACTGGGGGGATGCTGAATGCTAGATAAATTGCCTCTGTTTCTATGGAATGTTTAGTTTCTCTTCTCCCTGCATCCTTATTGCCCGTTATTCTGAGTTTCTGACCTTGGTACCTTGTTACTCCTTCTCCCTGGGAATGCTTACCCGTTAACCTAGGCGGGCTTTTTTCAAACTAAAAAGAATGATAAAATACAACTATTAAGAGTTTAACACATACCAACTAATAACAGCCTAAAAGACTTGAACCGACCTAAACTAAGTTCAAATGAAAAGAGTTAAAATAAACCTATTTGGCTTGCAAATAATGAAGAAGAAGACAAAAAAAGGTTGTCATGTTTTAAACTAATAAATCTTTTTGGTCTTCTGAAAGTTCAAGACAGTCAGAAGACCACAAAAGAAATTAGAAAGGCCCCGCCACTCCCTACATAATTGAATCTAATAGAGAGTGAGACAAGGAAACCGACTGAAGGCAAAAATAATTACCCACAAGGAAGTCCAAATAAAATGAGAGGTGGAAATGAAAGGAGCATCTACAATATACTTATAATGAACAGAAAGAAAGGACACAAATAGAAAGCAAAAATTAGAGAATAAAGGTCCTTGAAGCAGAGCACAGCCTAAAAGCATCGGCCAGACTAGCATTGGAAACCAGAATTCATGAGGTCTTGTTAAGTTGGCCCTACCATTACTGTAGTCAGTCTTGAAACTTTAGGTCAGATGAACCCACAAAAAGGACTCCCATGCTATAGTATCTAAAAGGTACCACAGAAGAAGATGACATTTTGAATTGTTCGAGTGTTACTATAAGATAAGTTTGAAAGGTTGTTTTTGAGGCACAAAAGGCTATACAAGCACTTCCACAGTCAAACAGCAAATTACCCTGAAAAGTCCTACCAAAAAGACTAAGTCAGCAAAAAATTACCTATTCAAAGTTATGATGCTATGGCAGGACCACGGAGATAATGAGCCATTTCACATTTCCTTTTTTAAACCGTTATTGTTCCATCATGGAATAAACTGATACAGGGACGGCTGTTTCACACAGCATTTCCTTTCCAGTAAGGAGTTGTCTCTGAAGCAGTGTGTCATTTCAAACTGCGCCACCTTCTTTTCCCACCATTACCCCCACACGTACGATCTCCCCGAGAGGGTTATTTTTAAAAACATTCTATTGGGAGTGCTATGGTGCTGAACCAGGACTACAAATCAGTGCCATAGCGACCCCATTGAGATGCCTGGACTCCATTTAGATAGACTGATATTTACTACTGCTGTCCCCTGGAAACAAGGAGCTCACTGGATATAGAGTTCAAGTGCGGGGGGTGGGGGGGAACTGAACAGTTTTGAAAACCAGGAAGCTTTCCTTCCTTCCTTAACTCCCACAAATCATGGACTGCGTGTGCTTTTGTGTGTGTGTGTGCCTGAGTCTACACTTCCTCTAAAGCAAACTTTTAGAAAATCGACCAAACATCTGTCTCACCATTCACTTATGCCCCTGATCTCCCGCTTAAACACGCTGTCCAATCAGGTACTTGTTCCAAGTGACAGCAGTAGCGAATGTCAGTGTATCTAAATGGAGGCCAGGAATCTCAATGGGGTCGCTATCGCACTGGTTTGTAGTCCTGCTTTAGTGCCACAGCGTTCCCAATAGAATGTTTAAAAAAAGAGGACAGTTGTGCCCGGGGCAGAAAAAGGGTGTGAAAAGAACTGTCATCGCAAGAAGCACTACAGGGCATTTTATACAGCACCCCATAGTGCTTCAGAAGTGGTAGGAAGGATTGAAGAATGGAGGAAAGCAGTTTGAGTCGTCAATACTTCAGGCATGCTTCCCGAACGGAGCAGAAGCGTGTTTGTCTGAACAGGTAAATATATTCTATCAGGAACCAGTTACTAAAACGGGTCTGTCTGAAATGACAGAAAAAAAACATTAGTGACCAGTTCCTGAAATGGAATACATAGGCTGTCTGAAATCAGCGTAAATTTTCAGATGGTTAGCAGTGGTATTGTAGAATTGTCATCCTCTCATGCTACACTTCTTCACTTTTGTGTCCCACTCTAATGTCTGGTCAGACTAGATTCATGTGTTTCTTTAGTTGTACCTTGCGCCTCAGAAGTGTGTCTCAATAGACATGTGTGTGTTCTTTTTAGATATTTGTGGGCATCTGTTGGATAAATGATAAGATCCAGTCAGAAACATTAGACAGTCACACAGCCGCCTTATCAACTGCAGTTTTAAGTCTGTGGAAATGCTTTCTGAATGGAGGATTCAATTCAGGCAGGAACAATAAACTGCTGTTTGAATGCTTTGTAAAAAGCACCAGAAATGCAGGGATTTGTAGTGGGAGATATTTGTATCTTATGTAATCAAAGAGCTACAGGTTTGGTGAGGGGACTGTTATGTACGTGGACCACCACCAGGGGTCCGCTGAACAAGCCAGAGCTTGGATCCTAGAACAATGGAAACTTCGGATCCTGGATCCCCCAGCCCCAACCAATAGCCACCTTGGCGGGACATTCAAACCCTCCAATGGGAATGGGGGGTTGCTGGGTGGATATGTATATAGTTGGCCCTGTTGGCCGTTAGAGTTAGTCTTTGTTTGTGTGAAGTACAATAAACGTGTGCTACAGTATGTCGTCGTCTGAGTCCTCCATGCGGCGAACCCAGTACTTTTCAGGGACAACATTCTATACAAATTAGACGCAGCCCTCTCTTGCTCTCTCTCCCCCACACACACCCCATCACCACACCACACACACACTACACACACTATGAGTAATCAGAATTCACTTAGATACACTGAGATTGGCAGTGGGTTCTTCAGGCCAGTGGGTGGTAGCTTTCCTGCAGCTTTGAGCTCTCATGGAGTGTCTGTCCATTGGCAGCACATGCAGAATGTATGAGAAGTAAGAAATGGAATTGTCTTCCTGGGAGAAATATGTTATCTTAGAACACTCAGTCTGAAGCATCTTTCCCCCCCTCTGTTGAGCTGGCACAGGCTGCTATAAATTGGCAGGAATCTGCTTTGCTGAATGTTGTTTCCACGGCTGTACTTTTAGTGTCCTTCAAAACTGTCTGTTCATAACAAATATAGTTATTAGGTAGGTATAGGAAGTGTATTTTGGGTGATGTCATAGTCTGCAAAGAACATTCTAAAATAAGCTATTGAAAAAGAAATAAATCTTTACGTGTATTGTCTGTATATATGGAATTCATGCCTGCTGCTGATTAGATGATGCCCTATCACTTTAAAATGTGCTGGACTGCATGCTTGTCTAATGGTGTGTCTAAAGGTGTCACAGTTGGTCAGAGATTCATGAAGCCCGTGACAATTAGGGGTAAGTGAGTATGATAGTTGCTCCAGGTTCAGCCTGGAAGGGGTGCAAGCACTAGTCCCTTGGAGGAGCCCCCCATGGGACAGTCAGTTACCAGAAGAAACATAGCAGCATATTTTGAGCCTGAATGTTTGAGATCAGCGTCCTATCTGAATGTTATATTCTTAAGACTTGTTGTCTAACATTTATGAAACTGAGAGCTTTCGCACCATTATAATATCTCCTGAAGAAGATCCATTTTTTGAAACGTTGTTAAGTAATCCGGAGACGATGTTGACTATGTACCTTGGTTCAAAGATTTTCTTTTGAGTTGTGTATTATGTTGTAGTGCTTTAGATTGAAATACATAAACAGCATTCTTTATAGGTCTTATGATTGTTTGATTGTGGGTCAGACTATCACGACTGTTGGCTTTATACTTGTTTAACAGTTACCTGAATGTAAACAGAAGTGAGCTGGAAGGGGGTGTCGAATGAGGTACCACTCACTCTGAGAGGCTATGGTAGCACTTCAGCAGTATGTCCAAGTGTAAATGTGGGCAAGCGGGGAGAAGGTGTTTTTTATAGAGGATGTGGGCAGCACTGTTTTCTTAGCCAGCTCACCTGAAAAATTAGTACTGGCAAGCTGGAAGTGGGCCTGATTTGCTGACATCACAGTGGGAATGACCTGACTACCAAGGATGCCCTCTGTAAAACTTGGCATCGTGTAGTTATGCTGCTGCACGTATTCTCTCTCATTTACCCAAGTGAACTTCACCTGTTCAAAGCACTTTGCTTGTGAATGTAACTGGACTTGCATGAAGTAAGTTTTATGGCTATTTATGACTATTATGAGAGCCAGTTTGGTGTAGTGGGAGACTCTAATCTGGGAGAACCGAGTTTGATTCCCCACTCCTCCACTTGCACCTGGCTGGATGACCTTGGGCAAACCATAGTTCTGATAAGAGCTGTTCTTGAAAAAGAGCAGTTTCTGTCAAGAGCTCTCTCAGCCCCACCTACCTCACAGGGTGTCTGTTGTGGGGAGGGGAAGGGAAAGGAGTTTGTAAGCCACTCTGAGACACCTTTGGGTAGTGAAGAGCGAGGTATAAATCCAATTTCTTCTTCTTCTTCTTCTTCTATTTCTTTAAAATGTGGGATACAAAGACATTTTTTTAGTGCCATTCTTTGGCTTTTTCTCAGCTTTGCAAATAACAGGACTGTTTTGACATTCCTCTGTTTATGCTTCAGTGAATGCTGAAGAAAAAAGTTATTGATTTGCTTTAATAATGTCTAGACTTTCCCCCCACTGCTATCAGGTGCCGCTCTGTATCGACTCATCAAACTTCTCAGTGATAGAGGCTGGGCTGAAGTGTTGTCAAGGCAAATGCATAGTGAATAGTATCAGTCTGAAAGAAGGTGAAGATGACTTCCTGGCAAAAGCAAGACAGATAAGAAAATATGGAGCAGCTGTGGTAGTTATGGCCTTCGATGAAGTCGGTCAGGTCAGTACTGTTGTCTTTATGTGCCACTGACTGGCTGTCTGGGGGGTCCAACCCGTAACCTGGATTTGCTAAAATAAATGAGCAGAGCAAGTATCAGGTCAAAGCAGAACTGGAGCATTCGGCTGGGAATATCTGACATTCTTGACTTGGGGCAGTTGTAGGGCCAATTATTATCTACTCAGTTATTGAAACCACCAGAAAACAGTGCCTCCTAGTTTTGTTTTGTTTTTGCCATCAAGTTGCAGCCGACTTACAGTGACCCCACAGGGCTTTCAAGGCAAGAGACTGGTGGTTTCAGTTTGCCATTGCCTTCATCTATGTAGCAACCCTGATATTCCTTGGTGGTTTCCAATCCAAATATGGATCGTGGCCGACCCTTCTTAGTATCCGAGATCTGACAAGATCAGGCTAGCCTGGGCTATCTGGGTCAGATATCCTCCCAGTACCACCCCCAAAAGGCAGTCCAGAAGGATACCATGATTGTTGGCATCAAAAGCCTCTCTGAGTTCCAGGAGAATCAACAGTATCGTGCTCCCTTTGCCCGTCTCCCAGCACAAGTCATCCAGTAGGGTGACCAAGACCATTTTAGTCTCATAGCCAGTCCTGAAACCAGTTCGAAAAAAAAAATCTAAATAGTGCTTGAAATCTAGATTGAATAAAATAAAGCATGTCTGACCTGGTCTGTAACATATAGACTTCCTTTCCTCACTCGTTTTATTTTTTAGGCCACAGAAACAGAAGAAAAATTTTTGATCTGCCACAGAGCTTACCACCTTCTAGTGAACAAAGTGGGCTTTAATCCAAATGATATCATTTTTGATCCCAACATTCTGACTATTGGTACTGGAATGGAAGAACATAATATGTATGCTATTAACTTTATCAATGCAACTAAAACCATAAAAGTGAGTCTGGGGAGTTTTTTAGCATGGGGCATTTTGGTTCTTTTATGTTTGGGAAGGGAAGATGCAGAATGTAATGCATAATAATATAAACAGTGACCTAATAGAACAATAGAGCTTTCTGTACTTTAGTAGGAACTTATTGTTCCTTCCCATAAGAAAAGTATGAGAAATGTAGATAGTAGTCTGAAATAACACAATTAGTTGTATTTCAAATATACTTATAATAATTAGATCGAGCAATATTTGCAAGATATTGGTAATTTAGCCAAGGGCCTCCCTAATTTAAATAGCATAAGTTCCATTATTGTCAATGTATTATGTCTCTAGTCGGAACACTATAAGCAGGATTTTCTTGAGTCTCTGTTGACTGCTGCATAAATCAGTTTGCTCTGGAGCCATCCTTTCCGAGCTAAGACAAAAATGTGTGAGCTGGAGGATAAAAAACTGTGGGCTAGCTCACACTAACTCAGCTTAGAGGGAACACTGTTGACAACCCATGTGAAAACTCCCTAATTTAATTAGCATAAGTTCCATTATTGTTAATGTATAATGTCTCTAGTCGGAACACTATAAACAGGATTTTCTTGAGTCTCTGTTGACTCTGTTGAGATACCCATAATTTCAGGGGAACATTTGGTTCTTTCTGTTTTTGTTGTTTGGTCATATAAAGCTGCTTCTTTCTAAAGCCAAAGAGGGGGAAAAGAGAGGTTAAACGGTATTTACTTATTTCATTGAACTTTATGCTTTCCTCGTCAGGTAAATTAGTATTAGGGTTAGACAGATCTTAAACATTTATGTTGCAATTTGTATGAGTAATATATATTTATTTGTGCATACACACACCTTTTAATTTGCGGGAACATTTGGTTCTTTCTGTTTTTGTTGTTTGGTTGTATAAAGCTGCTTCTTTCTAAAGCCAAAGAGGGGGAAAAGAGAGGTTAAACAGTATTTACTTGTTTCATTGAACTTTATGCTTTCCTCATCAGGTAAATTAGTATTAGGGTTAGACAGATCTTAAACATTTATGTTGCAATTTGTGTGAGTAATATCTATTTATTTGTGCATACACACACAACCTTTTAATTTGTCTTCCTTGGAGGAATTTTGTAATATATGAAGCAACCTTGAATTGCATTTTGAAGCCTTAAGTTGGGTTTCCAATGTTCCAGGATATCTTTCCTGAACTACTTGGCATTATGCTTATACTGCTACATCTGGTGCTAGTGAGATATGGGTTACATGTTCTTTCCTTAGTGAATGAATGCACTTACATGATGTAAAAAAGAAATGGAGTAAATGTTCCAAAATGGAGTAAATGTTCCAATTGATAGACTAACCAGCTCCCATTTTGAAGGATTTCTGAGGAGATATATAAGCTGAGAGAAAAAAATTCCAACAGATACTAATTTTCTGTGTGGCAGAATGCAAAAGACCTGAATGATGGCCTGTGTTCTGAGAGATTTGACATGACATGGTTCATCCTTCTGTCAGTATTTTCTTCAAATTCACAATGGCATATAGTGTAGTTGCATCTGTTTCTGTCAGAGCTATGTGACTTTGTTTCTATTGATCCTTTCCAGTCTGGCGTCCACCCTGGCCATGGGACAGAGACAGCTCTGGTCACACTTGCAGATGACCTCTGTAGGCAGCTGGATTGGGGGCGGCGCAGTGCTGTTGTCGCTACTAGATCTAATGGCAGCATTTGGCATGGTTGACTGTGATCTATTGACCCACCACCTCACCGATGTGGGAGTTCAGGGGACTGCCTTACAATGGTTCTCCTCCTTTCTCCATGGTCAGGGACAGATGGTGGCACTTGGTGAGAGGATCTCCCCACAATACCCACTTGAATGTGGAGTACTGCAAGGGGTGATCTTCTTGCCAATGTTATTTAACATCTATATGTGTCCCCTCGCCCAGTTAGTCAGGGTTTATGGGCTAAGTTGCCATCAATATGCTCATTTTATATCCCTTCCAGTCCGGCTTTCGCCCAGGCCATGGGCCGGAAACAGCACTGGTCGCCCTCACGGACAACCTCCAGAGGCATCTGGATTGGGGTGGATCAGCAGAGCTGTTGCTGTTGGACCTGTTGGCAGCATTTGACATGGTTGACCATCA